CACTCATTCGCTTCGCTCACTCGTGAGATATTGTTCTTGCCACTCGAACATAAAATTCATATCTTCTCGCCACCGTGTAATATCCTCTATATATGTAACGCTTCACTAACCAGATTTGTTCTGTTTGCTATTGTCTGCTGGTTTGATGTTGACGTTTTAAAAAGACAGCTGGTAGTTTCTGAACAAGGTGAAACTGGAGTACCATATTTTCCCATGTATAAGTTGACCTTTCCAGACCTAAAAATCTGTCCAAAAAATTTGCCCTTGACTTATACATGGGTCAAAACTTCAGATCCAAGTGCCAGTCAAATAATTAGCATAATAATTGTCTTTGTGTGTTAACAAACATGTAATAAACGGCAGCACAGTTTACAACGTACATTCACTTAGCGATCTGTCTCTCTATATCAGAGCCTCAAGTTAAAATGCATCAACATTTATCCTCTAAATGTTAACCTGAATCTTGTGGACACTCACTGGCTCAATTTTGTCATAAAGAAACAATATTTTTCCTGTAAATTAAGCTGTAGTAAAGACGCTCAGAGAAAACATCTTTCGCGCTTTGAACTTCTCTGCTTGGTAACCTGGAAGGATATGAGCGCATTTTGCCTGTCGTAAAAAGCCACTTTTAATCTCTTCTCACTTAAAAAGGTTCGTTTGAAATCCTTATGTTTGATTTTGTGAGCATTTGACAAAAATTATTGTTGAAAAGCCTGCTTGCACATGTGTTGCTAAACTGGGTAAAACGCTTGTATACATGCCATACAAGTCATGTAATAAACTTATTGAAACTGCACGTTGAAACTTGCTGTGATTTGTTTTAACTTTACATATCTGTGGTAGCTGGAAGATAATTCTTAGAAATACAAGATAAATTTTCCAAGAAATTCTTACCTGGAAATTAAGAAAATCTAGTTTTTGGCCTCAAAAATTGGGGGTCGACTTACACACAGGATTGACTAATACATGGGTAAATACGGTAGTTCAGACATTACTGTTACATCTAAACCCAGGGAATCAGAATTGATGAATTCAGCATATGGGATAACTTACTGTAAGTCTTGCTTTTAAACAAAATTAATGTCATTTGGACAATTGATTGCCAATTTTTTTGATCTTCAACTTTGTCTATTTATAATCTAATGGTAAGAAAACTGATGATGTTATATCCCAATGACAGCTAAGAAGAATTACTTCTAAAATCAAAATGCTTGCATTGTCATATGCACATTTGTTACACTGTTAATGGACTAAAGTGGTGATTGGTCTTGCTGATGGGGTGTTGTGAGGCTATCTTTGTTCATCAAATTAGTATTGATTCACCTATTTTTTTTTCCCTACCTTTTTGAAAGGAAGTTTCTATTTTTCCTATTTTTTTTTCCATCATGAGTTCCTATTTTCTTATTTTTCTGAACAAACATGCTGCTGGACACCCTGTTATAATTACAGCAATCCCTGCGATTTAAAGCAATCCGAAGATTCATTGAAAATATTTTGTACTCCAAAGTGTTTGATGTTTACTGCTGTTCAATATTAACCAGCATTTACCAAATTTATGTTATCAGTACATTTAATTAATCCAATAATTATAACGATTCTGTCTTGTAATGAAGATAGATCTTTAAGATTTCCAACAAATTTTTAGTGCAAACTGTTCACTAACAAAATGGATTAAAAACAATGCAACCAAACCTTATCAATAACTTGATCATCTTCAGAGCTGCTTTCCTCTTCATCACAAGGCAAGATAGTATTTGCTGTACCTTCAGTTAACGAAAAAAAGAAAAACAAGTCAATAAAATCCAACTTGAAATTTAGCCATTTTGAAGCAAACTACTTGCGTTAAGTATAAAACCACATTCACTTGTTATCAGCTTTGTCTAAGATCACTATATTTAAAAATTATAGAAATACAAGACCATAATCTGTAGCTGACAAAATTCAATTTCATACATGTAAGAATAAAGAGACGTCCTTCAAATGGTCCTTCAAAAAGTCTGCATTGTTGCAAAATTTTATTTGAATTTCAAGGATCTCACCATCTCATTTTTTTTTTACATGTATGTGCATTATGTGCATCGCACAATCTAAAATCTTATACATGTAATACAAAACTGTCATGGAGTCTCAATTTCTCCCAGTCTCGCAATTACAGTGTATAAGGTTTCAAATCTGCTGTTAAATATGCAAAAAAGTAGGCAGCATTCTATAGAGTTGCAAAAATTAATAGAAATACATGTACAATTAATTCAATGTAATCTACATACAAATGTATGTAAGAAAATTAAATAGAGGAGAAGGAAATAAGATTCAGTCCAAGTATACAGTGTGATTTTGTTTTGATCCAAATGCCCTCTTTTCATCCACTAATATATATGATTTCTTCATTAATAATAATAAAGGTAAAGAGCTGGATTGCATGCAGTTGGCCCAAGACATGTACTTACTACTCAGAGTTTCATGCTTCTTCCGAAGCAACCATCGGTAAACTCTGATGATTGCTTCGGAAGGAGCATGAAACTCTGAGTAGCAAGCAAATGTCTTGGACCAACTAATC